AGGAGCGGTTGCTGGTGTTGAGCGAGTATGTCGATGGTGTGGCTGAAACATTCACCTTTCGTTTGTTCGAGCACGACTTGAAATGATGTATGACGGTCACCTTTCGATGAGGATGAACTTCGTTCAAGTTTGAACTGACGCTGAAATGTTGTCTGTTGACCACATCGGTCAGGTCTGAAGCAAATTGAGTGGGGTCAACACGAGGTTCTGTGAAGCTCGGAGTTTCTCCTGTGGCGACAGGAGCGATTGTTGGAGGCGCGTGTGTATGTCGGTGATGGTGCTTGTGATGATGCTGAAAATTTTTGTTTTCATTGAAGCTGGGGAAAAAACTTGGAATAAGTACCTTTTCGGTGGATTCCATAGAGCCACTCCATTGAGGCTTTGCGAAGGCGATAGCCAAAGCTGCGGAGGCAAGTGCAACAGAGAATTTCATGGTGCGATGGTACTGTTGAGAATCGCTGCTTTATATAGCTCTTTGCGGACGTCTTATCTGAAGTTACGGGCCCCTGCCGCCCACGATGACTGCACACCTGACCACCCACGTCAACTTAGCTTTCGTTTTCTTGATCAGAGCTACAGTGACAATCTACTTGAGACGAAGAAAGAGAACTTACACCTGTGCTGTTTTTGACACAAGGGTGAGGAAGCCTCGCAATCTGTGTTCTGAGGTAATGAGCTTGTGAAGTTGTGAGAAAGACAAGCCAACAGCTACTCAGTTCGCTCTTATAGAGTTGAAATCACAGTAGCGATCTTGGTCTTGGGTCAGCCTCGCTTGCAACTTCACATGTTCAGTTGCTTCTCACAATCAGTTGGTAGAAAAAAACGATATATGCAGACCCCTTCATTGGATAGGAATCAATTTTGGGCTTGGGATTTCGGATGAAGCTTCTTCAAAACTTAGAATTCCTTCCTCGTCCTCCCACCTCCTGCAGCGAAAATGTTCAGTGTTTTGTTGGAAAAAATCACTCAGAGCGCACTACCTCGGTTTTCCAGTAAGTTCCCTGAAATTCCACTCGTTTCTTGAGAGACACAACGACTGGTGAAGATTTGGAGAAGTGAAGGGTGGACTTAGAGTAGCTTGATTTCGAGGACACAATGAGGTTCACCACTGGTTTAATGGTATTTCACTTGTAAATCTTCTGTTTGACAGTTTACATCCTTGGCAGTGCGTACGATCCCTTTTCCTTTTTCCTGGACCCCTTTATGACATAGCAGTAGCAGTACGAATTTCGTAGTGTCTAGGCTTTTGATCATAATCGACTTATTAAAGTTGGATCGAGTTCAGTTGGACCGTCAAAGTAGGCTGTATAGCTT